ACCTCTTGTTTCTTTTGTGTTCTGCTGTTTGAACAATAGTTTGTGCTTTTCATTAGGTAATGGAGAATTTTTTTCTTGCAAATTGGATTTTGTTTCTTGTCTGTTACAACTTTACTTTCATAAAACCCATGGTTTTGCAGTTGTGGGTTGAGAAAGTATTTACATACTGTTTCAATTATTCCTATACTTGCTTGCTTATGCTTATTTTAAAGATATTCTTAATTGATACCCTTACTTGGGGATTTTGAAGTCAGCAGTTCCCACAAGTTTTTCAGCTCTAGCCTTCCTGGTATGTTGGTAAACTTCAGAGTATTTAGCTAAACTGAAAGCAGTGCTACTGCTTTTCCATTTACTGCTGCACTAAATGTAGAGCTTTAAGACACCTATTGCTGTTTTGGAGTTCTAGTCTACCATTCCCAATTGTGCATTTCCTCTAAAATATCTTCTGGATTTCTGGGCAGCACTGAGAATGATAAATATTGGGTTTGGGATCCAAGGGCAAGTTACCTCAGAATTAAAAGCTCATCCTGTATAGACTGAGTCTCTTCTGAGTCTTGCGGACTTCAAGGAGACTGGATGCAAGTTGCATGACTTCTGAAAAATTGAGGTCTCTGGCTTGTACTTGGCATTTCATTGTATGCAGAATTGTCATCTTCCTCAGACTTCCTTGCCAGATAAATTGCTTTTCATCTCTTCTCTGTGTTCTGGGTAAGAAAAGAGCAGCACGTTGAGGTTAATTCAGTAAAGGGAAAAGAGAGAGGAGCAGACTGTGTTTGGAGAGCTAAGGGTTAAATTATTTTAAAGCGTTTTCTTGGATATGGAATAATTTTTGTGGCTTCCAAGTTTTAAAAGCTCTGTAAAAGTCAGACCTTAGTATTCTAAGAATGTTCAGCTCTGCTTCTCTCAGCAAGAAATAAAAGCACCCATGCCTGCTGGGGGGGGTGGTCCTTTTTTGTTTGTTGCTTTTGGTTTGTTGGGGGTTTTTTTGTTAGGTGGACTGAGGATCTCTGCAAACTCTTGGATTGCAGTGGGTTTTGTAAACTGATCACTTACCCCTCAGGCACCTTGTGCTAACTAATGCTTCATTTAGACAGTATCAATCAGCGGTGTTTGAAAACTTGTTGGTGTTTATTTTCCACCCTAAGCATCTCTCCATGCACAGCCCTCACCAGGTGGGCTGTCACTCACCACTGAGCTGGCAGGATCTGGAGCTCCCCTCTAAGCTTCCCGCTCCAGGCAGCCAGCAGCTTCTTTACTCCGGTCTCTACTGGGTAGGGAAGGGGGTAATGGGCTGCTCACCCAAGAACATCCCATGGGCAAGCAGCTCCATGTCTTGGATCCAAATCCTCATGCCACTCTTTAAGTTCTGATGGAGACGTGGAGCAGCAGCAAGATGAACCAAGCATGAAACATTGGGAAGTTGCTTACATGGGCTCTTCTTCTCAGTCTCCCCTCTGCCACCACAGTGGCATGGTCCCGTACCACCAGAAAGGACCAAGAGGACAAATATAGCAGATAGTTGCTGGAAAGGCCATTGCCAAGATGATGTTCTGGCTGCAGCATGAGTAGATGTTGACTAAGTGAGTTTTATTTATTAAGTTCTGGTGCCAGATTTCCTGGTCTGTGTGTACTGTGTTGTGGTTGTAACTACGTCTCATGATTTTAAGAGATTTAACTCCATGTAGTCAGGATTTTCTTGTTCTTTGGTTTGGGACAACTGTCTTCAGTATTAAATGAACCTCACATGGTTAGAGAAGGCTTTGCTTTTAGCATGCTTTTAGCCTGCTGTTACTTCTTTTTGCTTTATCTGTCTTCTTGGTTTAGGATTCAGGCTTTTCTTTCTCTACACAGATGTATCCTAGAAGTTTAGTTAACATGGGCAATTTGCAGCTTAGTTTGTTTTAAACTTCTGTTGAGATATACTAAATGGATGAGGTAAATCTCAGGGCACTGCACATCTGGCTTACCCAGGCAATGAAACACACTAAGTGGAAAGTTCAGGAAATTAAAATATAAACTTCCCTGCCCCTTTTCCTGCAGGGGCAGGAGAGGGGATGGGTCTGCCTGCTTGCATATGCCATTATGGTATGTTAACACTTTCAGTACTCAGAGATATGCTCTATTTCCCTCCTGCTTGAGCCTTTCCAGTCAAATAGCAGCATGACGGGTAAATGTGATGCCTTAGGATTTGTATGTTTGTGACCTGGGAGGTCAAAACCTTCCTGTAAGATATACACTGACATCCGAGAAAGCTGATTGTGTCTGGAAGTCCCCTGTTTGAAGTTTTGTCAGCAAACTGTGTCTTCTTCTGCCCTTCTTTCCCTTGAGACTGCAAAGATTGCTTTTAAAGGAGATCCCAGGTTTTATATTAGCATGCTCTAAACCCAAAACTTTTCCAAAATCCCTTATGTGTACAGAGCATTTCATTCCTGTGTCTTCAAAACGAGAGAAGCAGCCAGTGAGCCTCATGGTGTTCCAGGATTACTCAAGTGCTGTCATGCTTTTAAATTTAACAAGTCTGACTCTGTAGCGTTTTACAGACTCTTATGTGCATTGCATACATTCAGACCTGGCTTGGCATTTTGTGAATAAGACAAATGCACAGCACTTACCAGTGCATGTTAGTGAGCTTTTTTTTTTTTTTTTTAATCATATCTTGTTTCAGAGTCTATATGAAAAGGCTGGGGAGGATATTACAAAATCAGAGGGAAATGCACATTCTAAGCCCATGTGCAAAACAAAACCACAAAAAGAAAAAAGTTATATCTACCACATTTTAAATTTCTGAATTAAAAATACGTGTTCTGCCAGGTGTAGCTGGCCTCTCTCCACAGGAGCAACAGTGGAGCAAAAATTGTTACATATGGGCAGCAGCCATCTGAAAGAAAAACTTAGATTGACAAATACATAGACAAAGGGAGAATTTATTCAGGATCACAAAAGTCCACTAGATCCTGGAGTCCTGACCTCCTCTGTAATTCAGTCTGTAAGACTGCATCAAGATATTCTTAGAGACCAAAAAACCCAGGGCATTCGCATAATTAATGCAGACGTTGGCAAGCTTTTATAAGGGCCACTAATTCATTCGTATGACTTCCTCTCTCCCTCAAGGGTTCCTATACTTGACCTGTTATTACCAAAAGGTCTTTAACCAGAGAATTAAAGCCAGATGTCTCATAGCTAGGTCTCCTTTTGTGAAGTATCCCTTATAAATTGTTTTTTCTATGGAACACAGAGATCCTACATAAGAACTTTTTTAAATTCTTGAATAATTAAGGCTGAAAGGTTTCTAACCTAAAAGTTGATGTATCCTAGAGGAACAATAAAAGTTTTATAGTCATTGTGCTGAGAAATACTGTTTACCCTAGCTTTTTATTATCCTGGGTCTGCAAATGTTTCTGGTCGGTGTTTAGGTTGGAGGTAAAGTCATTCTAAAAAGACCTTTTTCTTGAACGTAAATCTGAATGCATTTGGCATATAGGTGGAAAGTTTTGTGTGTTGCTTTATTGGAATTGGCTTAATTGTGTTGAGAAGCAGAGGAAAATTAAAGGAAACAGAAACAGCTTTGGGTAATTCTAAAGAAATATATATCTGATGCTATTTTCACTCGAGTCCAATTACTAATTTGGTTTCCCAATTCTGTACATCTTTGGTTTCAATGTGAAGGTTAGGTTAGCTGTAGCATTTCCTGCAGAATGGCTGGAACTCTCCAAAATGTGGACCGTTTTGGATGTTTTAATGAGAAGAAATTCTCATCTTTTAGTAGATCTGTTCTTTGGTTGGGCTTATTACTCCATTTCTCGCTAAAACTGCTCCTCTTTTTTTAAAAATTTAAGTTCAATCAGTAGAGTTTCACAGTGGTGGAAGCAGGGTGCCAGAGCCAGCTGTCCTGGGACTTTCTAAAAAGAGATTTTTTGACATTAGTTTGTTTCTCTTTTTTTAATTATTATTTTTACATCCTTGCTGTTAAGCCATGCTAAACAAGGAACCAGTATGCTATTCAGAGGGGTTTCTTTTTCTAAGGTTTGCCTTTTGGGAATTGCACCTTGAGTAATTGATTATAACTGAGGAAGGAAACTCATTAAGAATTTTCTTGTTAGCCAACAGTTTTATGCAAAGCTTCTACTTTCTGGTGGAATATAAGGCTTGTTTGTTGCACCCGTAGCTGTGCTCAGCTGAGTATTCTGCAAGGAATATTAATCATGTGTTCCCTGACATAGCCATAACAATACTTAATGCAAGAAATAAGGTGTGATGCTTATAACAATAGTTTTCAAATACTGCTTTTCTGATTTCTTGCCTTACTCCTTCTATTTCAAACTGGAATAAGCCAGTTCAGTTATACTTAAAAGCATGGTGTATTTAAAACCCTGTTTAGAAACGTGGCTGATGGAAAAAGAAAGGTCACAGAAATACAGTTGGCATGGTTCTTTTATTGTTTATAAATGCACTTCATGCCTTATGGACAGACACAGGCCCTGGCAATTCAGAGTCTTAGAGCATATTGACAATCTTAATTGAGGATGTTCCTCCCAGTTTTCAAGACCCTGATGGAGACATGAGCTCTTCTTTTAATACCACTACAGCCAAACAATAGTTTTATGCATTGGTAACGATAAATAAGGTGTCCCGTAACAGAGTTCACTATTCTTAATTACCAGTTGCATGCCCTTCTCTAAGTAAATTTTTCAGCAGGTTTGCTTGGCCAGAAGCTTGTTTGCTGTGCAATTTACAACTACGTCAGAAATCACGCTAGCTCCCAGAGCAGATGGAAGCATTTCTGGTTGTTTCTAATCTGGTTACTGTTACTAGACTCCTCAGAGCAATTGTCTGCAAGTTGTGGAATGCCATTTGGTCTGAAAAAATAAATTTATTCTGAAGCGCGTTCCCTTCCTGTCCCCCTCCCTGCTCTCTGTGCATGTCTTGTCTGCGGAAGCAATCATATGTTTTCAGTTCTGATGTAACTTTTTTCTCTTTTTTTTTTTCTCCTCTTCTTTCAGTCCACAGCCATGAGCGAACCACAGTGCTACTACAATGAAACCATTGCCTTCTTTTATAACCGAAGTGGAAAATATCTAGCCACTGAATGGAACACTGTCAGCAAACTTGTAATGGGACTGGGGATTACCGTCTGCATCTTCATAATGCTGGCTAACCTCTTGGTTATGGTGGCTATTTATGTCAACCGCCGATTCCACTTCCCTATTTATTACTTAATGGCCAACTTAGCCGCTGCGGACTTTTTTGCAGGGCTGGCTTACTTTTACTTAATGTTCAACACGGGACCCAACACTAGAAGATTGACTGTAAGCACCTGGCTTCTCCGTCAGGGTCTCATTGACACTAGCCTGACAGCCTCTGTAGCCAATTTGTTGGCCATTGCTATTGAGCGGCACATTACAGTTTTCCGAATGCAGCTACATACTCGGATGAGCAACCGGCGAGTGGTGGTCGTAATTGTTGTTATCTGGACTATGGCCATCGTCATGGGTGCCATACCAAGTGTCGGATGGAACTGTATTTGTGATATAACTCACTGCTCCAACATGGCACCGCTCTATAGTGACTCCTACCTGGTGTTCTGGGCTATTTTCAACCTGGTCACTTTTGTGGTCATGGTGGTCCTATATGCTCATATCTTTGGGTATGTCCGCCAAAGGACTATGAGAATGTCCAGACACAGTTCTGGACCCCGCAGGAATCGGGACACCATGATGAGTCTCCTGAAGACTGTGGTCATTGTGCTTGGTAAGTGCTTACTTTGCCACCTCTGTTCTCCCCACTCTGTTTCTTATCAGGTGATTTCAGTAATGCATGTGCAGCTTCTGGGAGGTCAGCAGCATTTGGAAGACACTAGAAGAGGTGGGGGCAATAAGAGCATTCATTACTGTGTTGGTACTATCAAGCTTATTTATGGAAGTGGGTATCAGACACTTGGTCACTCCGCCCTGTAACATGACAATGATGAAAATCCAGGACCTCAAGATGTAAGCTGGTGGTGTTTTGCAGCAGTGCAGGTTAAAAACCTGTTGTAGCAGCCTATCCTGTGTAGTGTTCTCCCTTTTGCCTCTGAAGATGCCAAATAGCTGCAACCTTAAGTTAGTACAGGAGAGGCTCGGTCTTCCACTAAAGTACCTCTTGTCTCCTTTTTGCCACCCAAAAGGTGGTGTGTGTATTCAGGCAATACTCTCATGTCTGGAGAAAAATGTGGGGCTATAGGCTATTGATGAAAAGATTTTGTTGAGCAGGTCTGCAGGTACAGTTTGCTCAGGTCTACAATGTTTGGCATATCTGAGTATCTACCAATTTTGGGAGGTGCCTAAATTTCAGGGCATGGAAAACAGGGAAACATGAGGCAAATACCATGATGCACTTTGGAGTCAGAAGGTTCCTGTCTTTGTGGATGGTTTTTTTTCCTGAGGCTCTTCGTTTCCTTATGCAAAAGCACAGCCTGGATACTGGGTACCATTCCCTGGTGATGTTCTTTGCAGTTTGTTCTGCTCTTTGTGCAGATGACAGTGAGCTGCAGGCAGGAACGGTGCTGGTCCTTGTCCCAACCTGTGTTCCCACCCATGAGGTCCTCCAGCACAGTACACAGGTCTCTTGGGATCCTAGTACCCTGTTGCATCATGAAGATGCCCTAGTAGTCCATAAACGCAACTGTATACAGTCTGCAAAGCCCAAAACTTAGCCCCAGTTCTTGCTTTGACATCCTGATTTCCATGACTTCACACTGTGACTTGTTCTTTCTAGCAGTTACTGACTGCACAAACATGGCAGAATAGTTGCAGAGATTTGATGTGAGTCACTGTGTCAACACATGTGTTAGTTTAAGAATATATGTGTTGCTCTCTGACCTAGTGATTAGCTTTGTAACCAGAATATGAACTGTGTAGTTGACTAACCTGTTCAGCCATTGATAAGTCATATTCCTACATGTCCTGCTCTTCTCTTCAGGGAAAAAAACTGAGGCTTGTGAAGGAGGCTGCAGTGGTGGGTAAAACCTCTCCTGAACTGCCTGGTAGTTTGGAAATCTCACCCTCCCCGTCTCCATGATCCTCCTCGCTGAAGGCAAGATGAGGTTAAGAACACAAAGAAAATTCAGGTTTTGCAGTCTTCTTAGGAAATAGATCTTTGCTTTTCTTCCTGAAGGAACTGTTGTTCATACAGCAGTGGAGTATTTCCTGTGAGGTGAAAGGCTTGAAAAAAAAAATAAAAAATGTGGGAAATAGTAAGCGCTTATATCAGTGCAATGCAGAGTTGTAGGAATAAATAAATAGTCACTGAATATGTAGCACCTGGCAGCTAATCCCAAGCACGTATGGGACTAGAAGTATGTATGTAGCTGGAAGGGTAGGTAGGTAGTGACTGCACCCTCCTCCATTCCCCAATGAGTAAAGGTCACAGGGAAGATGTACAAGCCACCAATGGTGGGCACAATCGTAGAAGTCTACAAGGAACATAAAGTAGCTATTTTTACTTTTTTTTTTTTTCCCCATGTACGTTATTTTTTTTCAGGTATTGTCCTGGAAACAGTGGAACATCTCCAGGTGTTAAGTAGCACTAGACAAACTGAAGGTGACACAAGTTTAGCTGCTGATGTAGTTCAGTAATATCTCTGATTCCTCAATGGGGCTATTTGGAGTAAAATTTTTCAGAACTACAGGTAGCACATGTTGAAGTTTTCTTCAAAATTCAAACAGGACCTTATTTCTTATTACTGGTGCAGTTAAATTCATTCAGTATTGGGCACACGCTCTGCTTTAGCATCCCTTCTAATCTGCATAAAGCACTATTTACAGAGAGGGGTAACATACTATTGTATTAAATCTGTTTGAAGAAAACAAAGGCACTCCCAGGCTGTGACAATCCTCATCCTCTATTTGAATTTCCTGCTTTGGTATTATTTTGAAAAGGGTTTGGTTGTTTGGTTTTTTTTCCAAAGCAGTGTGGTTTCTTTAGTTGGAGGAGGTCAGTCATAGGGCTATAGCGCAAAGAAGCAGCAATGCTTTTGCGTCCTTACCACCTGCGCGACACAGTTGCAAGATAAAGATGGCTGGGAAACAGCTGTGGGTTTGTTGGTTGGTTGGGGTTTTTTGGGGTTGTTTTTTTTTTTTTTTTAAATAAATAAAAAAAAATAGCCTGAAGCCAAGTATCAGGACTGGGGGCAACTACAGATGGAAGCTAAATGTTTGTGCATCAGGGTGTTAAACAGATTGCTAGATGAACCATGAGAAATGTTCGTTAGGTGTCATCAGTAGATGGTGCGGTCAGCTCGTTGATCAGGCGGGTGTCCTGGTGCTCTGGCACTGCTTGCAGTCTGCTTGCAAGTCTAGTTTGAAATTTTCACAAGGAAAAGATTTAAGTGTTGTACTTCCCACATGCCTTCTTGCAAAGGTAGTCAATGTATAGCGCTGCGAGTTTATCTGCTTCAGCTTTGGGAAAGGCAGAAAAGGTGGGTGTCATAGACTGCCTAGAGCAACTTGCTGAATGTTTATCTCATGCTATCTGGCTTTTTCTGCATCAGTGAAACTCAGTAACACAGAGGAAAAGACCCTCTGCCTTTCTTAACAGTGCAGATCAGGGCAATACATTGCTGTTTGAGGCCGAAACCAACATTTTGGAGGTGGAGAGGGGAAAGGAAGAGTTTCAGTTTACTCCTAAGACCCCGCTCCCTCCTCTCCTGCCCCACAGCTGAATGGGGAAGGAAGCTGGTGTGTGTCAGCCCACTTACCCAGGAGGAGGCAATTCATTTTGGAGGACAGGGTGGGAGGGTGCCTTGGGAACCAAGGAAAAACAGAGCTGGGAGTCTGAGTAAACTTGTGAGCAGTGGCAGAGGGAGGCAAACCAGCCCTCCTCTTAGGATCTTTGTCAAAATGGTGCTCAGCCGTAAGTAACCCCCCTGTGATTTGGGCAGCAATGAACTGTTCATTTGACTTTTAAACTTCCATAAACGGGTCGTCCTGCTGGCTGTACTCCCAGGCAAAACCTCGCTGCTGCAAGCAGAAGATCATCTTTTCCTCTGTCCCCATCCATGCTACGTT